TTTTCCTCAGGGCTGCTCTCAATCCATTCTCTGCCCAGCCTGTACTTGTGCTTGGGATTGCCCCGACCCACGTGCAGGACCTGGCTGTTTTGGAGTCCAGCTCCCCTCTCTGGGATGGATATTGGCTGACTCTGTGTTTAGAATTAGGACCGCTGGAATTTAGGAGCACAGAGCCTAAATCCCTGTTCCCTGCAAGGACTGTTGTTCCCTGTAATGTCATTTGGAAATAGCAAGGGAAAGGGAGGAGCAGTGCTTAGAAGCAAGGCCTGCGTGGTGTGGGTGGGGATGGTGCCCGACACAGAAGGCATTGATCCCCTTCCCCTTCCCGCGGGACCGAACGAGCTCTGCCCACGTTTTGACTGCGACTGGTGCTGAGCAAGCGCCGCCGGCACAGCTGTCCCCCAGTAACCTCGCTTCTCCAGGCCTGCCTCTCCAGCAGCGTGCCAGTCTGACAGGGAAGTGCCAGACCGTGCGGAGGGTTTGACAGATGGCTCCAGGGGCTGGGATGAGACCACATTGCTTTGGTTTGCCTCTCTGCTCCTTCTCCCACGTGCAACAAAGGGATTAAAGAGGGCGCTGAACAGCCTTACTCGTTGGCTTTCTGACAGTGCCTTAAATATAGATGAAAACCAGCTTTCTTTTCCCTTTACCCTGGCTCCTGGGGTGACTGCCTCACTGGTGAGGTGTGCCAGGGAGAGCAGCTCTCATCCTTGGCGGGCTGTTCAGTCTCTGCAGGGCTTTCTGTCCCTGGCGCCTCTGCCAAGGCTGCAAACAAGGGGACCGATTAATGCCAACTGTGGCACATTTAGTGAAGTGGACAGGTGCCCGTTGGGAACTGAGCACAGTCCTCGTCCCCGCAGACCGTATGGCTCAGTTTGAGACTTGAGTCCGTGGCTTCTGGCCAAAAAAAAAGGTAGTTTTCCTCTGGCCAATAGGTGGGTGAAATGACAGGAACGAGATTCTCAGTGAACAAAGTGCAAGACTTCATGGGTTTTTGTGACTTTATTTGCAGTGCAACAAATTAAAGGAAGAAATTGCTAAAATGAGAGAACTTCTGGCTCGTAAAGATTCTGAAACGGGAGAAAACATCAGGCAGGCAGCAACCAGCCTGCAGCAGGCTTCTCTGAAACTCTTTGAAATGGCATACAAGAAGGTAGGTTCATGGTCATTGCCATTGTACAGCCCTCAGATGGGGAGGGGTGAGTCGGGACAGCACGTGTTTAGGCAAGAGCTGTGCTTGGAGGTGGCACTGAGTCTCGTGCAGCCCCCTTCGAGTGACACTTGCCAAAGGGGCAGGTGTAGAAGGTCGGGTGGAGCTGGAGGTCTGGAGTCTTGGCCGTGGTGCCGTAGGTAGCCTGCCTCCCAGGCAGCGTGTTACGTTACCGTACAGCGTACATGGAGACGTGCTGGAAGCTCCTAATAAGGCACATCAGGAAGAGTAAGGACAGGGCTTTCCCCTAGGTGTTTAGAGTGCCTACAGAATCAAAATAACATCTGCATTTATTTTTAAGGCTGATTATATAACAGGCTTCCTGTTCAGTCTGCCTAAAATTACAGTTGTAAGGCCATCGGGATTTTGTTCTCAATCTCCTTCCCGTTCGAGCCCTGGCAGACGTGTACGTCACCTGTCCAGGGAAGTCTCTCGGGGTGGAAGTGGCACACTCTGCCCAGGTGACCTCGGTGGTGCTAAGCTGTCCTTCCTGTGGAAAGCTGCTTTTCTGGTGGTCAAACTGAAAACGTTCAGTGCTGCAACATAAGCTTGTTATGTCCATTGGGAAAGCGTAAATAATGGGAAGACAGTTACCTCCCTCTTAGCAGCAGTCATGCAGAGAGGAAGATTGTTTCCATTCTCCAGTGAACAATTACCCTTTTCACTGAAGGAAAGGTTTCTTCAGTCTAGAACTAACCTCAGCAGCTAGCTAGGAAAAAATGCCTGGGAGAAGCATTTTGTTGTTCCTACAACTAATAAGCCCACTCTTTCACAGATGGCCTCCGAACGAGAGGGTTCTGGAAGTCCAGGGGATCAGAAGGAAGAGAAGCAATAAGGAGTCTCTGTCTTGCCTTGACTAGAGTATGAAGAAGAGGTCGATTTTCTTGATGCTTGGGAGAGAAGGGACCTTCCTGAGCAGCAATGGGCAGAATTCAGACTTACTGTGTTTTTGCAGTATTCTATATATAAAATTCTTTAATGTATAAACTTAGTGATGTGTCTGCTAGATAAATTGTCACTTGATGGAAGTTAATTCATGCCAGACGGAGTTGGGCGCTTGGCCCCGTGGTATTCAACTGAGGCACCTGGGAACTTGCTGATCATTTATTTCTGATACTTGACACAATGGTGTACTAAATCTGATATCAATGTTTGGAAACCATGTCACTAAATCCAAGGGTGGAGACGGAAGTCCTGCTGGAACTGGGAGAAGAGTAACACCTGTGTGGACCCTCCTTGTGGACCTGAGTACTTGTGAGCAGGTAATAAGACCTGTGAGCAGCAGTGACAAGGCTGGTTATGTTACTGGAGAACATTCAGATCTGCAGCTAGGTTAGTTACCCCTGTTCTCAAGGAGAAGGGTTACTTCAAATTCAGCTGTAACATTATTTCTTACAAAAGAGGCTACGTGGAAGTTAAATACTTTGCTTGTCTGAGCCTTCTGCTGCATCCCGTGTCTGTTTTCTGCTTATGGTAAAACAATTTCCTTGATAATAAAACTGTTATTGGATCCATTCTGGATTTTTTTAAAATAAAAGCAGAAAAGTGTCCAACATGGAGTTCTTGGTGTCCTGGCCTTTGATGGAGAACATGATCATGTTAACTGCCTGTGAGAGCTTCTGGTGCGGAGGGAGGGGTAGGGGGAACACTCAACCAGCTGTAGTGGCAGCAGCTTTCTGGAATTTGTGCTTCATTCACATGCAGAAAGAAGGAATCCGGTGTCACATTAGGGTGCATCCCTTCTCAGAATATCACTGCTGTGCTCCAACAAGGTGCTGGGAAGTCCTGCTGTGATCTGCAGCAGCAGTGGGACTTCACCTTCAGGCACTTCTGAAACAGGCTGTAGAACCTGGAGCAGCAGTTGCCTGCTGCTACTTCTAGCAGCCAAGTCTTCCAAGGAGGTGCAGTCTCCTTGCCACAATATATTTGTTTCTTTTTTTTCCCCTTCTGTTACTCTGTAATTGACTGGAAAGAAACTGCAAAGTTTACAGCCGCTTCATCTTGACAGCTCAGATATTTAGGAGGGAGGAAAGGATTCTTATTTTTCTGGCGTTCTAGACAGTTTCCTAAATAAGAGAAGCTACTAGGGAAGGCTACAAGTCCTGATTCTGTGAACTTTTCTTTAAGCTGTGGACTGGAAGGGACCAAGACTGTCTGCTTCAGACACTGAGCTCTCCCCAGCAGTCCTAGCAAGGACTGGAAGCAGCTTCCATGTCACAGTAAATCAGCCTAGCCCACTGAAGTGGCAGAGAGGGGGGGAAAACTTTAAAGAGTAGTGCGTGAGCTAACTGTAAAGCAAGATGGAACTCAGAAGTATTTTAGCCTGGGCATAAAAGGTGAGGAAGGGGCCTGGTGCAGCTGGAGGAGGAGGTAAGAGGCCATGCCGTAGGTGCCCAGCCTGCAGCGTGCTTGGTGTGCCATGGTGGGGCAGGCAGGTGTGCAGGGGGGTCTTAACAGCAAGATAGTGGAGTTCAGTGCAGCATGCCAGTCAGGGGGAATTTCCTCTGGGAGGTTGTGTGGTTATAGGTCTTCCACAAGTGGCGGAGTGGTTACAGTGGTGCGTGGGTCCAGGTCCTGGGTTTGGTGTGGTTCTGTTGAGTGGCAGGGCTCTTATTTGTCACAGGCCGAGAAGTGCTTCGCAGATCGTGTGACCAGCATGGTTCCCTGGAAGTTTTGAGAAACACGTGGCTAAGGACACGTGTGTTCACAGCAACTGCTGCTCCCAAGGGCTGTTTGTGCCATCTAGGTGTCCAACCACACGTGTCTTACGTGTGAAACTATGTGCTTCGTTCCGTCGCAGTGTAACGCTGCTCCTGTCCTGTATGTGGGGTTTGCAGGGAGCACTTTGCTGAGCATCTCCTGAGAATAATCTCCTTTATAAAACTCAATTGCAGGTGACTCGTGTCCTGTATTTCCCTCAGCCGTTGCTCCCGTCGACAGCGATCCCCTGTATGAAACTGCAGTCTGAAAAAGAGGAGCAATTCTCCAGCAAAACGAGTTGGGTATTTCAGCTGCTGAAAAGAAACATCCTTAAGTGAAACAGTTTGAAAACCATCCTCTGTGGAAGCTTTTCCTGCTGTCTCCCTGGAACTGCAGCCAGATGTTCCTGCGGCAGAGCCAGGAGCGCTGCTGCCGCTCGCGCGCTCTTGCCTCTGTTCTGGGCTCCTAGTGCTGTCAGGGCAAAGGCCATCATCATCTCGTAGCCTCCAGGGTCCTGAATCATTGATCCACGTTGGCCCTTATTTCTTGAATGAATGCTTTCCCCTGTCACGGTTTAAAGCCATCTGTCATAGATGTTCTTTATTTTTTAATGCACTGTTCTGAACTCCTCCATTATAAGCTAAATTATCCAATTGGGGAGGGAGAAGTGAGATGAGGTGATGTATGTCATGCCGAGAACAGTTTTGTGCTGTGAAAAATCTGCCAGGAAGGCAGGAGGTGCAGGAACTGGGCTGTCCTCTCTCATAAAAAGGAGCAAGCCCTGTCCTGAGGAGTTGGCTGCTGCCATCCCATCACCGGGAAGGTGTCCGTCAGCACGGGGAGAAAGGGCGTTTGGGTTTGTTGCCCGCTGTCATTTTCCACGTAGGAAGGAATTCTTCCATTTCTTTCTAGGAAGCCTGTAGCCCCAGCAGCGCTGCAGCTCTGGAATAAATTACTGGTCTGTAGGAAAAGTTTTGCACGTGTTCTTGGAGGAAAAAAGGTGAGCGAGCGACGCTTGTGGTGCGTGCACCCTCTCGCGGTGCCCTCGGCGGGTGGCAGCGGGTCAGGGCCAGGCACAGCTCTGCAGGTCGGGCTGCCTTGAAATAAGGCGTTCAGTAACACGAACAGGAGCGGGATGGTCGATTCCAGCGTCGCAGCTCCTGCCTGGCTTTAACAGAAGAGGGAAGGCTGAGATTTCCATCAGGTGCGGAGTATCTCCACGTGGCTGCAGTTCTCTTCAAGGATCTGCACTCCGACATTCCCCCAGCTCAGGACGGCCGCTTTGGGGAAGCATGCCTGGTGCGTTGCCTGTAACAGGCAGGAGATGTTCGGCTTCCTTGGGGATAGCAGGAGGAAAACGAGATGGAGCCTCTTCCCCCTTTCTCCACGAGTTCTGCTGTGAAGGCACGGCTCCTTTTCAAAACGCCTCTCTAAATAGTGCAGCAGTTTACTGAAAAAGTTCTAATTCAGTGGATCTGCTTCCACCGCTGCTCTCGGCTCCTTCCTCGTTCCCACGGAGCTGTGCCGGCTGTCGGAGCCAGGCGCTGCTCGGCATCTGTGTCAGCCGGGCTGCAGGAGGAACTGATGGCAGCGTCTGTCGCATCGGGAAGGCTGGAGCAGAAAGTGCCAGGGCAAAGTGGGTGCGTTGGGCTGGGGGGCGATAACCAGGATGCTCAGTGAATGGTCTTTGGAGTAGAGTCCCTGGATGGAATCGGAAG